GTTTTATTAGAACCTGATTCAACACACACTTTTCCTAGCAGCCATTAAGGTTCCAAATGTGGTTGATTCGTTGTACTATACTAGGGTATCCTAGTTCTGGCTGTTTAAATATTAAAAGGACTTGAAATTTATTTGCGAATGAATTAATAATTCCTTGTATAAGTTCAATCATGAGAATTAAGGGAGCAGTCTTATAAAACAATGAAATATTGGTTTGTTTTCAATTGATCGTAGTTTTGTGTGGTGTAGAAGAAAAATATGTGTGAAGTCTTTAAAGAATTCGCGAATCCTTAGAAATATTGCGACAGGCCCACATTTGGCTCGTATATAATCATTAGGAAATAATGCTTGAAAGAAAAATATAACATAGAAAGTCAATTAGTATGACAAAACTAGAAACTATGCCAAGTTATTTTATTGGCCATGGCGGTGTTGGAGTGTTGAATACTTCAAGAACTTATTTAGACCATTATAGAAATCAATTGACACTGATAGGTGAAGAGATTTTGTCTTTAAACCCTAAAGCAGTTATTGTTACTTCAGGTCATTTTGAAAGTCCACACGGCCAGAACAAAATACAAATTAATGTAAAGGAAAATACAGATGTTGCATATGATTATTTCTTCAAACATGATGATCCGGAAGTATACAAATTGAAGTTTGATCATCATGGTAGTAAAGCTATTGCTGATGAATTAGCTGAATACTTAAAAGATGTTGACAAAAGTCTTCTAATTGAAAAGATTGAAAAAGATACTGATCATGGAGTATGGGTTCCTTGCAAATTAATGTTCAGGGAGGAAAACCTACCTCTCAAATTTCCGATAATCAGTTTATCTACTTTGAATCCTAAATATAATAACTTCAATCAACAAATAAACTTGGGGATATCTTTATCAAAACTAAGAGAAATGGGGTACATAATAGTTAATTTGGGAATGATTGTGCACAATGTTTATGCTTCACTAAATGCGAGTAAAGTCATTGATCAATTTAAAAATGACAAATATAAACTCGGAACTATCACAAATGATAATTTTGAAAGGGATTTTACAAAAGAAGCTCAAGACTTAGTCAGTTTGGATAATATTATAGAGCGCAGGAAGATGACTGCTGACCTTGAATTTAATACTAGCTCAAATTTAAGGTTCGCACATCCATCTTTGGAACATTTCACTCCATTTTTAATATTCATTGGAACGTCATTAAATGATGATTCTGGTTTCACATACGACATCAATACTTATGATAAAGGAATGAGTTATGCAAGCTTTAAATTTGAATAACCAGAAATAATAATAAAAAGAGATTGCTACTGCCAATCACAGATAATGAAATTGGTAATTTTCTATTATTCTGCCTTACCACTTATATATATTCTTCCAGCTACAAGTTTGCAGATCTATTTAAACTACTTACTCATTTACAAGTCCTTGAAAAGTCACCCGTAGCAGATACAGTCAGGATCTGTGGTTTTAAGACTAAAAATTCATAAAGGTGCCTACAAATAGTGCATATTCCTCCTCCCCTACTTAGCCTTGCGATATAGAATTTTCTTATCAGAGAGTAAAAGTTTTGCAACTTCCGAGAACATGTTGCACAAAGTGCCATCAATTAGTAGCTAAATTTAACATTAACTCCCTTCAATATATCCATATTTTTTTTTAATTTTCCTTCCCATTCTTTCTTCCACTACTCAAACCATTTTACGTATTTATTATTTTCCTTGACTACTGTAAAACCATCTATATGGTTTCCCATCTAGGATATTCTCATAACTTGTTATACTCTATTACTCATCATAGCGCGAGCAAGCTCTTCGCTAGAAATGGACAACCATAACTGAGAATTCCACATAAAGATGTTCAATTTGAGCCAGTAAACTGGTTATACTTGCTTCTTATATACTTTTGATTCTTCCATTTAGTGTATACAGCTTTAGCCTAAGGACGTCCATGATACAAAAGCTTCTTGAGTATGTTCGTTATATAGAAATCATTATAGCCTAAATTCGTGCAACTAAAATAATCTATGGCGTGCTTCCGAAACTCCTCATAAAGCTTTTCAACCATCAACATCCGGTCCGGTAGAAATTTTTGGAACGGTGTCATGGCATCCTTGTGGCCCACCACTGTGTTCTCGGTGTTGAAAATGTCGCCCGTGACGTGAGACGAAAGAGATTACCCTCGCTTTGCGCCAACGAGAGTCCGAGATACAAGCAGTGGGTGCGCATCTGTGCCAATATGCGGCACAGACCGGTGTTGACGATCGAAACATCATCTGCCTCTCGAGGCGACACACCGCGAGCGGGCACATTTGATGATATCCAACAAGATGCACGTCTTG